AATCGATCTCACTATCGATCTCACAACCGATCTCACTAGAGATCGCATGAGCGATCTCGCGATCGATCTCACTATCGGCCTCGTCGAATCGATTTCGCTCTCGGTCTCACGATCGACCTTACAATCGTCCTCGCGATCGATTTCACTATAGATCTCATTATCGATCTCACAATCGATCTCAAGATCTATAGTTTTAATTTTTAAATCATCCACTGATGGGTTTTTTCTCAGGTGTAATTGACTTTAACTGTACGCTATTTTTTCCAGAGATTTGTATTCCTGCGCACAAGTCTTCATGCTTCGCGTATCGCCACCAGCCCATCCAGAAACGGATCGCCGGGCGAGTTGCTTTGATCAGGGAAGTGTAGGAGCATGTAGTGCAACAACCGCCTTGGAAGTGTTTTCTCGTAGGTTTCCCAGGGTCGTCTTGGGTCTCTCTTGGGGTCCTCGCGGAGCCACTTGGGGCACTTTGGGGGCCCTGTTGGGGCTCTTTTGGGGGTCAAGGGGCCCTCTTGGGGCGCTTTTGGGGGGGTCTCGAGCCGGGGGGGGGATTCGCATCTGACCCAGGACCCCCCCCGGGACCCCCGTCGCCTTGACCCCCTCCTTCCCCGCGGGGGAGGGATCGAAGGGAAGGTGCTTCCCTTCGATTCCACTGCCATGTTGTTCGATTTTTCAGTGGCTGACAAACTTCAGGAGGAAGGTGCCCGGAAAGGGGACGGGGGACGACGGAGACGACGAGTGACGGAGACGACGGGGAGACCACGGAGACGACGACTCGAACGGACAAGCCCCTCACACATGCCGACTGGGTCGGCGGATGCTGATGTACATGTACGGATTCACGCATCAACGAACAAGCATTCTAACACTCCGCTGTTGCGCAGGCAGCGCAGCTGCTGCGAGCCTTCTCGGCGGACACTGTAGCACCCGTGGAGAAGCTGCGCCGCTGCGGCAGAACATGCCGCAGCCAGCGCTGGCAGGAAAAACATGCGCAGCCACAGGTGGAGCAATAATCACATTGGCATGAAAAAGCAGCTGGACTAAAACAGCCTACAAACATCGTGGAGGACTCAGGCTAATAAATATTCATGCGGCAAATACGCATGCGAGAAGATTGGAGAGGCCTTACGGCGGGTGCCGCCGACTCTGAACGACGACGACGAGATCGAGGACGAGGACGACGACGACGAAGTCGATACGACGACGACGACGACGACGACGACGACGACGACGACGACGACGACGACGACGACGACGACGACGACGACGACCACGACGACGACGACGACGACGACGACGACGACGACGACGACGACGACGACGACGACGACGACGACGACGACGACCAAGAGGGCCCCGGGAGGCACAAATTGTAGGTGTTCGTCGGGTTTCGGTGTCATTTCCGCATACTCAGCTTCTCGGTCTCCACAGCGTTCGAGACGGCCGAAGAGGCCGCCCGAAATCGCTCCCAGATGGCCCACCAGGCGCCCAGGAGGGCCCCAAGACAAGTCCAGGACGGCCCAAGAGGGGCCCCAAACTGCCCCAATGCGCTTCACGAGGGCCTCCGGAAGGTCTCCATACGGCCCAGGAGGACACCAAGGCAGCCTAACAGGGCCCCAGGCCGCCCCAGAACAGCCCCAAGAGGCCCCCAACATTGCCTGGAGTGGCCAAGACAGTCCCAGTGGGCCCCAAGATTGCCCAGGAGGTCCCCAAGGCGGCTTGAGAACGGTCTGATCGGACCCCCAAGAGTCATTTTTCGTATAACTATTTATTTAAGATATATGGATATTATCTTTCTTTTTCTGGTTCTCTTTCTTCTTTTCTCTCTTTCAGGATGATCGTTGTGATGTCGCGGGAGCCTCTCGGGGGCCCTTGGGGGCCGTTTTGATGCTTCTTGGCTTCTTGGGGGGCCGTTTTGGGGCCATCGGGGCTTCGTTGGGTCTCTCGGGGCCTCTTGGGGGCCTCTTGGGGCCTCCTTGGGGCTTGTTGGGGCGGAAGGCTCGGATTTTCGGTTCGTGTTCCCCCTCTTGGGCCCTTTTTGGTTGGCCCTGTTGGGCCGTCTTGGGCGCCTCTGGGGCTGTCTTGGGGCCCTCTTGGGCCGTGTTGGGGCCTTCCTGGGGGCCTCCTTGGGCCGCCTTGGGGCGGTCCGGGTGGCCTCTTGGGCTGTCTTGCTTGGAGCGTCGGGTGTTCGAAAAATCGAGGACCCCCAAATCATTGAACAACCTATGGGTAATCAGTGATTTTTGCCTGTCGGGGGGAAGGCCGCTTGGAGGCCTCTTGGGGCGTCTTGGAACTTCTTGGGGCCATCTGGGGCGTCTTGCAGCGATCTTTAGGCGTTTCGAGGCCCTCTTGGATCATCTTGGGGTCACGTGGTGCCCTCTTGGCCCGTCTTAGGGCCCTCTTGGGCCCGAACAAGTCACGCGGGGAGATGCGGGAAACCCCCGACAAGCCGCGGCAAGCCTCTGGAGAAATGACAATTTGGGGTCTGGGCCCCCTGACCTGAGGACCCACCCACTTCGTGCTCAGAGGCACGGTGGCGGATATATCTGCTCCACTTACACAGGCACTCTCTCTCTCTCTTCTCTGTCTCTCTCTCTCTCTCTTCAAACATATGTTACCTTGTCTCTGCTATGCCTTGTCTACGATCTCATTAAGACCGTTCTCGCAAGTACACTCTCCTTCTCTTTCTACTCATTTTTTTTTTTTTTTTTTTTTTTTTTTTTTTTTCTCTCTCTCTCTTTGTCTCGCTCTCTCTCTCTCTCTGTGTTTCTGTGCCACTACTCGGTTAATTCCTCTAATTGCCCTCTCAACTCGCCGTGCTCGCTGTTCTCTGAAGTCTACTCTCCATCCTGTGTGCTCAATTATTCTCCCTACCCTCAGCATGTACAATCCACCCTGTATTCTCGAATCCAGTCTATCATCTTGATCGTTGTTTATCCTGATTTGACTTTATCCCGATCCCGCCCCCGTTTCGGGCCCTTCTTACGGTCCACTTCGATTCAGTTTGACTCCAGTTCGATTCAAGTTCGGCGCAAGTCGTCGACGGACGTTCGACCCAGCATCGGCGCATGAGTAGAGCGGGTGGCTCCAGGAATGTTCCCAGAACGAACATCTAATGGTGATGCCGCTTTTGCGGCCATATTTTCGGCCATATTTCGTATCTTCTGGGCCATACTTTCGGCCACGTTGGCAGGACTGGTCTGCGCTCTTTGCGCTTCGCCTCTTGCTCATCGCACTGCGGTTACGCTGGCCTCACACCGTGATCGTTGCTTGGAGGTGGCCCGCCCCTTTTTCCCCTTGCCGAATTTTCATGGCGCCAACATCGCAGAGCGGATTTCGTTCGGAAAATAATCGGATGGGCCCAGAGTGTCCTGGAGAATTTCGTCCCGGCTTTCGCAGTGAATTTCGTGCAGATTATTTTGGCCAGGAATGAAGACTAAACAAACTCCACGTGAAATTCACTTCGTTTCTCGCTCGCCGTTTCGGGGTTTTGTATTGTCAGAAATCCGCGCAGGAATCCGCTGCAGCACGTCTGCAAGGTTGGCGCAGTGAGAGCTTGCGCTTGAAAAGACAGCCGACGGCGGTGTCGCCTTCCCAGACATGCGACGTCCTGATTTTTTTTGGACGGCGTCCCTGGAAGTCCTGGCCCTTTCCCCGGGACCGGTTTTTCGTCTTGAATCGTTTTTTGACGGTCCCGGGGCCCGGCGAGGGCCCCCCCCCCGAGGCCGAAAGTGGCCAAAAACCTCCCGTCCTGATTTTTTGTGCGACGCGATCATGTCTGGGTTCCCTCTGTTCGGCCGCCCGCAGGAGGAGGAGGAGGAGGAGGAGGAGGCGGAGGAGGAGGTGGAGGAGGAGGAGGAGGAGGAGGAGGAGGAGGTGGAGGAGGAGGAGGAGGAGGAGGAGGAGGAGATGGAGGAGGAGGAGGAGGAGCAGGACTTGAGCTCGACAGGGATCATCTTCTCAATTTCGAAATTAAGCAGGCACTAGACCATGAGTGTTGGATTCGTGCCGCTGATTCGCATGTTTACGGTAGAGGGGCACAGGATGGAGTAGACCTCACCATTTTGAAGAGACACCTCAACAAGCTAGCCAGAAAGAAAGCGTACGACAGAGCGGAGGTGCTCCGCATGATTGCAACAGGAGCCTTGTGGCCAGCAGCTAGGAGATTCGGTAGTGAAAGCCGCGGGGGCATTAAGATTGATCCTCCTGCTGTGCTGCCTGCTCCTGCGGCCACCGAGCCTGCTGCTGCGAGTGCTTCCTCTCCCTCCAATGTCCCTCCTCAGCCCCCGCAGGCCGCTACCTCTTTGGACGACCCCGAAGGGGACCTCTTGGAGGAGGAGGAGTTCCCGTCGGATGTGGGGGAGGAGGAACCACCTGAAGAGTCGGCCGGGCAGGCCACGAGTCAAGAGCCAGCGAGTGTCGCGGCTTGGAATTCTTCGCTGTGCCCCCGATGCCACGAGTGCGAGGAAACGCTTTTTCACCAGATCTGGGATTGCAAGTGCAATTCTGAGCTCCCACAAGAGGAGCTACACTGGGAACACTTGTCTCAGGCGCGCCAGGAGTGGAAAGAAGAGCCATGCTTCTGGCTTAGGGGCCTCACGCCCTTGGCCTGGACTTTCAACATTAGGCATTTGGAGATCCAAGGGGTAGAAACCCTTTCCCCTGAGCTTCAAGGCGAGAAGTTTGTCCTTCCCCCAGGAGCCTACCTTGGAGGAGATGGGTCTGGTGGCCTGTTCTCTGCGGACCCTAGGATCAGGCGGTGTGGCTGGGGAGGAGCTATTTTCTGCAACGGAGAACTCCTGGCATGGGCCAAAGGGCCCCTTCCCACGTTCAAGCAAACTGTGCCCCTTGCGGAGTTATGGGCCTGCTACAGGATGGCCCAACTAACTGCAGGTGATTTAGTCTTTATAGGAGACAATGATTCGGTGGTGAGCGGGATTAATTCGGGCCCCCGTTTCCGCCACACGGAAAACTCTACCTTTTGGGACCTGCTCTGGCAGGAATGCGAGGGTAGGCGAGTGCTGGCGATTAAAATCAAGTCGCATGAGTCGGCCTCAGATGCAGTCCTGGTCAGAAGGAGCAGGCTTGAGCATTGGGTTGCCAACTTTGTTGCAGACAAGCTGGCGGATCAAGCCGCCAAGGAGGCTCAATTGCCCCGCTGGGCGACCGATGAAGTAGAACGCATTGACAAGCTCAGCAGAGAGGTCCAGGAGCATATCCTAACTATTTCGCATTTCATTGCTGTGAATTC